CCGACATAGCTTTTCGTGTCGATTCTCACAGACGACGCCAAATGTTAATGCACAAAACCGAAGGTCTTGAAACAACGTAAATCTGACCGTGAATCTATATGAAAGTAAATAACACAAGAAGTATTGTGGTTCACCCCAAGGTTTGGGCTACATCCACACTGATATTGTATTTCTAAGGGAGAAAAAGAGCTCTGAATATGAGAGTGAGAGTTTTGAGAGGATGAGGGAGCTTAAGGCCTAAGAGTTGGCCTCCTCTAATTGTGAGGGTGAGGAGTCCTTTTATAGAATAAGAGCTCTTCACTTATTATATATTTGCCCCTCCATTTATTACATAATTACATTTGAGTCCTTCGAGTATTTATACGAGGTCTAAATACGAAGGCCCTAAGTATGGTATAAACAATTTGTTTTGTTATATACTATGTTTTTGTTGCTAATACGAAAGTAAGAGTCCTTTTGCTGGAAAACGAAATTTCGTAAGCCTGGAATGCTTATTCAAAATCAAAAGTAATAAGCTTGGACTACTTATTCAAAAGTAATAAGCCTGGGTTGCAACATCAAACTCTGCAGATTCAAAATTACACGCTTGGACTGCAGCACCAAAAACTGCAGATTCAAAATTTCACAAAAATTATTTGTTATGCAGAAACCAACAGTATGAGTGCTTTGAATCTCTCTTCCTCCTCACATGTCGTTCCATAAAAGCAGCATAAGGTGCAAAATTCTGCACACAACATCCTCACCATCATCAATGGTACTTTTTATTCTTAAATCAAGGGATTCCCTGTATTGTTCTTGAAAATCATCAAATATTGTTGCTAAGACAAAAGTAAGAGTGGTTTTATGGTAGGAAAATTGGAGTGGGAGGGAAATGCAGCGGAAAAGCCAGAAAATTTAGGTTTTAAAGAACTTGAGTGTTATTGGTGACGTGGCTAAATCTGGAGCCTTAAACTAACTTGTCATGGAATGAACAACTAATAAAGTAGGAGGGGATGGAAAAAGATGAAAAGTAGGAGTGGAGATAATCTTGGTCCGCAAATATGATATGGTGACTTGGATAACAGCAGCGGTCGAGATTATATCGAGGATAGCCACATAATTATCAAAAGGGAAATGATGAGATATGTGTACCATACTTGACCAATCCCGAAACTACTGAGCACCGGTCAACGTTATACCGTCAAGGACCCATAAGAGCTTCCCTTCAACCAGGAGGCCAATCACAATGCACACGTGTCGACATCAGAAGCCAATCACAGCGCGACACATGTCAACATCAGAAGCTAATCACAACACGACACGTGTCAATGTCAGAACAAAACTAAAAACTCTCTTCTATAAATAGGGATCATTCTCCCACAATAATCTTTAATGTCATTTTGTACTAAACTATTCACTAGAACTCACAAAAGGAGAGCTTGAACCTATGTATTTGTGTAAACCCTTCACAATTAATGAGAACTCCTCTACTCTGTGGACGTAGCCAATCTGGATGAACCACGTATATCTTGTGTTTGCTTTCTCTGTCTCTATTCATTTACATACTTATCCTCACTAGTGACCAAAGCAACCAAGCGAATGTCACAAAACCTGACACTTTCTGTTGTACCAAAGTCTTCACTGATTTTGTGCATCAACATGGTTTTGTGACCTTCGCTTGGTTGCTTCGGTCACTAGTGAGGATAAGTATGTAAATGAATAGAGACAGAGAAAGCAAACACAAGATATACGTGGTTTACCCAGATTGGCTACGTCCACGAAGTAGAGGAGTTCTCATTAATTGTGAAGGGTTTACACAAATACATAGGTTCAAGCTCTCATTTTGTGAGTTCTAGTGAATAGTTTAGTACAAAATGACATTAGAGATTATTGTGGGAGAATGATCCCTATTTATAGAAGAGAGTTTCTAGTTTTGTTCTGACATTGACACGTGTCGTGTTGTGATTGGCTTCTGATGTTGACACGTGTCCCGTTGTGATTGGCTTCTGATGTCGACACGTGTTGCATTGTGATTGGCTTCCTGGTTGAAGGGAAGCTCTTCTGGGTCTTTGAGACAGATAAGGTAAGTGAAGACGATACCACACCTCGGTACTTAGAAGTTTCGTGATTACTCAGCGGCTTGGATCTTGCAAGTCCCCAACCAAAGAGCTTCCCTCACTCAGGAACTTAGGGGAGCACTGTTTTTACCATACTTGACCAATCCCGAAACTACTGAGCACCGGTTAACGTTATACCGTCAAGGACCTAGAAGAGCTTCCCTTCAACCAGGAGGCCAATCACAATGCGACACGTGTTGACATCAGAAGCCAATCACAGCGCGACATGTGTCAACATCAGAAGCTAATCACAACACGACACGTGTTAATGTCAGAACAAAACTAGAAACTCTCTTCTATAAATAGGGATCATTCTTCCACAATAACCTCTAATGTCATTTTGTACTAAACTATTCACTAGAACTCACCAAATGAGAGCTTGAACCTATGTATTTGTGTAAACCCTTCACAATTAATGAGAACTCCCCTACTCCGTGGACGTAGCCAATTTGGGTGAACCACGTATATCTTGTGTTTGCTTCTCTGTCTCTATTCATTTACATACTTATCCTCACTAGTGACCGAAGCAACCAAGCGAAGGTCATAAAACCTGACACTTTCTGTTGTACCAAAGTCCTCACTAATTTTGTGCATTAACAAGATAAATTCCAAGAGGCATGATAGAATCGAAATACATCATACAACCTATCATCGAAGGTATCCGCTCCTATAAGTACAACAAGATAGTCAATTTGAAGGGACCTTCAAATCAATACATAAATTTGCCTTGCGCAATTTCTTGCTCTATGAGAGCGCTCTTGCTTTTGAGAATACAATTGACCTCTCTAACTTCATCACGCATACCTCTCAATTTGTGTTAAACAACTTTGTGACTGACAACCGGCAACATCTCTAGTTTATGTTAAACAACTATAGAGCCGTTGAGTCAGGCGATCGATGAGCATCTCATAGTTCATGTAAACAACTCTACTCCAAGTTCGGTTGACTACCTATCCAAGTCTTTGTCAACAAGGGTTCTTTGAGTCCTTATTGGAAGATGTCACTTCATTAACTTTTTTGGTGGAGTGAGGTGTTACCGGGTTTCATTGTTCGCCACATTAAAAGCCGAACCCATTTTATAATTAGATACTCATAAGTACACTTCAGAGTTCGGCATTCCGACGGCCGAACCACATTTATGATCAAGACACTTATATCTTTCGAGTATTTGTGTCCATACAGTTTAGTACCGATTCGGCGCACTTATATTTGCATAAATACAATTGAAGTAGTTGAGCTCGGTGCAAACGATTCGTGAACTTCGCAATGATTAGCAGCCTCGTCTTCAGGCTCTAGGACCCAGAGGCCGCGATGAGTTCCTTCCTCGTGTAATCACTCAGATAAGAAGTTAGCAGCGCATTCGACACCACCACCACCACATCATTTACTCACCGACCAAACTCGGTTGTCGAGTTGGCACGCCCTACATTCAACCGAAAGTAATATTCTAAAATTGACATAGGTGGCCGTCTAGACGGTCGACGGCGACCGACCGTTGCGATTATATCAAAAGCGTTCAATTAGTCGGCGCCTAGACGGCCAACTGGGAGGGCTAGGCGGCCTCTGGGCAGTTTTGTAACTTAAAAAAATAAAAAGTTATGGCTGCAAAGTTGTGCATCTCCGCGTCACGCTGCGTTTTCATCGTGTCCTGCGTCTTGTCCCCTCCTGCATGCATAGAAGAGGAGTCGGCATAAAACATTTAATGAGAGACCTCTGTAAATTTGAAATTGCAGAGAAGAAAAAGTGAGACGGCGCAAAGGTTGTGTTGACTAGGGTTAGAGTTAGGGTTTTTAAATTGGCTGATATGTCTTTTAAAATTAGGGAATAAATTATATTATTTATATGATGTGAAAACGAGGCCCAATCCTTTTTTGAATGAAAAATAAGGCTCATCAATTATTAAAATATACAGGCTTAGAAAAAATGTTACAAAACCAAGAGAAAGAACCCTAAAATTTTACGTATATACTCATATTTTATAACATATATAGTAAATTAATTTATATGTCATTTTATTTTGTAATTTATGTATCTCGATACAATTATATATTTTTTAAGTGTAAAGAAACACTTATTTATACTATTTTACTAAATCTGCCTAAGAGCCCGTCTACACGCCCCTTAGCCGCCTAGGCCCTAAGCCCCAACTCACAACCCGACTAGAACCTAGCGTCTTTTAGAATCTTGACTGAAGAACGTAGTTAGCTCATTAGCTACTTGACCTGCGCGCCACGTATATTTAGTAGTTTTTAAGGTCAACATGTATTAGATTATAATTAGAGGTTTTTATATTACAGTATAAACATTAAAATTAAATGGTACAGCCATAGTTTGACTCGGGGCCAAAATATCAACATGAAGATATCCATCATATATATTAGAACCACAACCCGTGCGTATATGGAACATTGCAAAAATTGCAAATGGATTTAGCTAAGCTCAATAATCTAAACTTGTTCAGACGCATGAACAACTGATATATCAGATTTGCACATAATTTTCTAATTATACACCATAAATAACCTATCATAGTGCAAACCATTTTAGATTTACCCCACAACAAAGTTTTTATGAGACGATTGCATCGAGGATTTAACATAGAAGATATTACTTTACTATGTTTCTTCAGTGACTTGGATTGCATGCAAAGGTACAACTTAAATAAATCCAAATGAGCACACTGACAGAAAAGTGCTTTTACTTTGTATTTTATTCACTGACAAGTTAGCAGCAAAGAAGAGTGAGTAGGCAAGTTGCTTCAGAAGTTGCTAAACTTGATTGCAACATTGAACTTAATTTTTACTCCAAATCCAGTTTGTCCAAAAGCAGTTGTTGGCTGTGACATTGTATATATTTACATACCACCCACCCATTTGAAATTAGGAGGAGATATGAGAGGTAGAAAATTTCCGGGAGTCAGGATGGCATGCTTAGAGAGGGCATCCCCAGCTTTGAAGGGAATTCTGCTCAAACGGTACCGGTAAGTACATTCGAGTTTTCGTGCTTACAATACTTGATTCGAGATACGTATTGTACCAAATTTGTTACGTTATGTTCTTCACAGATTATAAACAGCTGCTTAGCAATAATCATATAGAAATTTAGATGTCTGCATTCCTGAAAAGAGTTGAAACAGTAAACTGTTACTGCTGTTAATCAGTTATAATCTGTGTGCATGTTAGGCAGCATTATCTCCATCCATCAGTGTCAAGCAAGCCATCATCCGGTGACGTTTTACAAAGCGTAAAAGCTAAAAACTAAAAAGAGCGAAAATTAAGACCGAGAAATACGGGAAGAAAATTTGCCATCGTAAACCTCTTCAGTAAAAATGTAGAGCAAATGCAAGAGATTTAACAACATTTTTGACAATGGAACAGAAAAATGTCTTAGACAGAAATTATTACAAAAATGTATAAATGGTAGGAATTTGGTGACAGGGAGATGTGGTTTCCAGGTAGATAAGCATTATGTGTCCAGCAATGAGTTTTGGGTAGCACAGACCTGTATGTATGCTTCTCCCACTAAAACCAGTACCTGCGACATATTTCACCAAATTGAAGAGAAACATCACGTTCAGCATCTTATCCTCCAAACTCGAAGATGGTTGAATAGAAGAATTCCTAAACAGCGCTGTTTCTGTGGTGTTTAATTAATAATGGAATGATAAATTACCAAAAGCTTTTTCCCAGCTCGAGGATGGTTGAAGCTGTCAGTATTTTACAAACAAAAACGCATTCTGATAATTAGTATTGTTGCTTTCGTAACAGTGACAGCAATTTCATGGAGATTGATCATCACTTATACGAATTCGGTTCTGTTGAATACCATATCCAGGTGAGTCCTCAGTGTGTACAGACTGAATTTCAAATATTGTAGCCAAGATGTGAAGCTAGTAATAATGTGTGGGTGGAAAATACCTCATCATATGGTTTTTTAAGCAGGCATTTTGATATCTCTTCCGATGATTTTCGTGTAATAAAACAGTCTTCGGCATCAGATACGCATTATATCTACTTGTCAGTGTCAACCCCGCTCCTTTCCCAGGGAGTCATGCGTCCGTATGGGATTTCGCAATATACTAAACAGATGGTAAAGGGAATTCGTCCTGACATTGTGGAGATTGTTGAACCTGCAAAAGAAGGATACCAGCTTACTTTAAGACTTGATTTTTCTGAGATTCCAAATGGAAAAGGTTCGATATTCTTTCACACATCATCCCAATAATATACAAAAATTTATTCAAATCATTTATGTCAAACATAGCTTGTTACCAAGATGCTTGCAAATTTCATTTTGTTTAGATGACTGCTCTCCTTGATAGCCAAAAGAACAAAAAGAAGCAAAATAATGAAACTCTGTAACCAATTACGCTAACAATGCTTTCTTGAATTCCAAGCTTCTTTTTCCTCCCATCCCTATAAATAAAGATGACATAACTTGTCAATATGGCAACACACCACGAGCTGCTGCAGTGAACGTCTCAAAACAAGTCTGAATAGTATGGAAAGCAGCTACGTCCTGCATATTTAATCAGTATGATAGTAAAACCATATTCGTACAGTACTGTTGATGCTAACATTGTAATTATGCATGCATTTTTCTCTCTCTAGATTCTGTGAAGGTAATTGCAGACATTGCTGCCGTGCAAGCAGTAATCTTAAGTTCTCAGCTGAAAGAAATGTTGATGAATGTTAACCCTCAAGATGCATCGCAAGGAATGTATAAGCCACTCAAACTCGAATATCACCCAAGAGAGCCTTTCTTTATTATTAGACAGGTAAATCATTAGCAAAATTAAGAAGAGTGCTGATTCAACTGAACTTATTCTAATTAATTTACTCTATAGTTCTAATGCACAAAGAAGATATTCATGTTTGACAGCCGCAGAAAATCATAGCAGTATTCCCGATACGTTTCAAAGACAAAACAGATGTCATTATTGCAACAGCATTCTTTCAGGTTTGTCACTGACGACTGATACAGTGAAGTAAAGATTTTCTTATTAGTACAGTTGATGAAATGATACTATTCCTGCTAATGTAAAGATTCTTATTAGTACAGTCAATGATCTCACCCTTGCTGCTATTCCTTGCAATAACTCGTTTACATTTTATTTTTCTTGATTTTCTTTTTGATCTCCTTCTGGGGAATGGAGACAGGAGCTTATGGATGTCGGAAGTTGTGAAAAATGGAGGAAAGTGCCTCCTTGTTGCTGGTCACCCATTCCACCTCCAGAGTTAAGAGGAGAAACTTTTGAAGATTTGAGTACGAATGGAGGATTTGTCTCTTTTGGTATCGTCTTAGACTCCAATCTAAGTAGTCCAAGTATAAACTTTCCGCTTATGGTTGGTGTTCCACATATGAGATGAACATCAGGTAGACTCAGTCTAACACATTTGGTATTGACTTATATACAGAGATTACTTCACGTCATGTCGAAGGTAAAAGACTGGACAAGACAGTATGGAGTTTACTGAATTTCTATGCCTATGTTAAATACCATGTAAAGGTAAAAACTCTAGTATTTTATCGGGTTTCTACTTTTCCTTGTTGAGAAAATTCTGGCCTTCTTGTAGAAATTTTCAACCAATGCATGCATGGTTACATATTTAGTTAACAAGTTTGTTCAAGCAGAGCACCAGAAGTTTTATTCAGAGAAGGATGAGAAAGCGTCTTGAAGGACTGGTTGAGGTAAAAGTAAACCCTTAATTACCAAATCAACTCAAGACTCTTTTTTACCAGTAAACAATCTATTTCCCTTCTCCCATATACAAAAGTCATTTTGGAGGAATACCCCAACAAGACGAGAAAACTAATATTCTTTACATGCTTGCAGGTCCTGGGTAAGCGAAGAAACACAGAAGAAGAAGAAAAGGACGAGGAAGAGGAAAAAGAGGGAAACCACAAGGTTCCAGGTGTGCTTTAAGCCTGTATACTTTGACAAACTCACCAACTACTATAAGTATATCAAAACCTAAAGTCCACTCACTAATTTCACAATAGAAGCATTACAATGATATATTCTTACTAACTTCTGTAAGCAAACTATTTCAGACCAACAACAATTCACATTTTCTTGATTCCTGGTTATAACTCTCTCATTGCTTTCTTTCAAGCAAATGCAGGATGCATGAACATGAGAAAACTGATCAAGATATCAAAACCTAAAGTCCTACAGCGAAGATATGATGACTTGAGCACGAAATCAAGAGAATCCGTTGGCGGATTAAAATCCATGGCTTTGGGCGTTTTCGTCGTCGATGGTTGAAAATGCCAAAGTTTTCTTCTTCAATGGGATATATCAGATTAGAATAAGTTATTTCCCTACCTTATATGTTAGCTATTTATGACAGCAATTAGAATAATGAACAATGCCCCCTTTACTGCTACTTATGCAGAAACAATACAAAGACTGTAGATACCAAGTGAGTACTGTTTATAAACCTTCATGTGTTTTAAACTGGAACTCTATCGTAGCTTAATTTGTATGTCTTGATATGTAATTCTGTGAAAGTCAGATAAACAGACCAGATTGATAACATGTTGTCCAAAACAATCAAATGATTCAGTTTGTTTTAAAATTAAGAAAATAAGACAGTACTCACAGACATTTGCTGTACAAAGTTATGGCAACATCCATGAAAGGAAAAATAAACAACGAGCACCAAGACAGCAGTTATGTATAAATTCGAAACTTGAAACATTAATAGTACAGTCATAAATTTGAAAATTAGAATCAACCAGTGAGACGATAGCTAGATAAGTTTGGCGTAGCTGGTTTACTTGCTGCGGAAATAAGTAATTTGTGTGTTCTGAACATTTAAACAGAAAGATGTGAAAATAAATAGCAAGAAAAATAGTAATACGTTATTTTGTGCTGGATTACTGAGATACTATTAAGAGGTTGAGGATTGACTTAATTTACCAGCTTCCACAATGAATCCTGATCATCGGAGGCCTTTAAACTGTCAGTTGTTAATTGCATCTCCAAATTCTAAGGAATCCTTTCAAATTTCAACTTTGATTCTCCTCCCTTAAAATGCATGTGGTTCACTGTACATTTTGAAGGAGGGAAAGAACATTGTATGTGGATAGTAAATTATTGATAAACTATGGAAACAACTGATTTCTGTACCAAGGCGCATATGTAGCCAAGATGCAACAGTGCAGATTATAAAAGTTTAAACATTAGGCAACCAGTCCACCAAATGCATTGCCAATACTTATTTCATCCTAAAACATGTCTGGGTAAGCTACCTTATAAAGAGAAGCAAACAAAATTGAAGCCACAAGGTAAACAGTATCAACAAAGACAGATTACAGTGCTTGTTATGTTTATGAAAAGCTGCTGTTTTAAATCCATTTGATGCCATTGTCATTGAGCTCTCCAATTGTTAACTTTCAGAAGATAACCATTAGAGTCAAACTTTTTCTGTTTTTAGCCTTCACCTATCCTTTTTTTCTAGATCCTAATTCCTAAAGCTTGAAGATCAACCAAAACATGGTATGTTGAACAGATAAATAGACGATGCAACCAGAATCGAGGAAATCTCATTTTTTATGGATATGGAAAAATACAACATAGACTGATACTATTCCCTTACCATTGAACAAATGTGAGATCTTCACTTTTATCTGGTCCTCGTTGACAAAATATTTCTGTTTGGTTCTCTGTTACTTAAAAATTGCAGCCTGAGTGTGAATATCCAAACACTGAACAGCTTGATATATTGTTTAGAAAAACCAATTCAAATTTGATAAATGGAACAAGAGGTAGCTGTCATCAATGAATTCACTTTGATCATGCTCTTAAATTGAAGCAGTTTTATTTCCAATCATCAAAGAGAAAAACCAATTTGTACACTGCAATTGGCACTTGCAGAAAGGAAGATCTTGAAGGTGGTTCCAAATGTGCCCGAGTATTTTACCATTTCTAAGTTTATTAAAGCATCACTAATGAAGATAAAAGGCATATCGAAAGTAAGTGAACCTTAGAGTTGTAGCTACACAACCAGCGCTAATTTGTGAAAATGCACACAAACACAGGTCGTAAACTCTTTATGAGGATTACTGATACATCGAAAAAAACCAAGTTATCCATATAATAATTAATCTCAACTGGAGACAATCTAAAAACTAAATGACGGCATGCCATATAAAAAATAGGAAACACTACAAACTGAAGTGAAAGAATGAACAAATGAATAAAATCTCCATTATATCTGAAACTTTGTACCAAAATTGACAGTTAACGAAAACAGAACAAGCATTTCATTCAAGCCCAATCTCACCGCCAGGAGGCATCAACACATGCTCCGAATCTAGCTGTGCTAGCAACTGACCACTGCCCTTGCCAACCTGCAAGTTCCAGTTACTTGCCAGCAAAGCAAACAACACAAAACTCAATACCAAGACCGCAATCGCATGCCCGATGAACAAGAGCTTCATCACAGCAACACCCCTTAACCCGTCCTCCTCAAGGTTACATTTCCACTCAGCATTGTCCTGGTTAGGCCACACTGACATTTTCTTACACCCGTTTAACCCAAATGCATCAGTGTACAAGGACAACCCCAGTTGCAAAATCCAAGTGCCCTTAAAAACCAATCCAGAGGACAAGAAAAACTCGGCGAAAAACGAACATGGCCTAATCGACAAATACAGGCAAGAAAATGCACAAATTAGAGTCAATGCAGCTAGCATATCATACACAGCGCCACCAAGACCCGAAATTCCCTTGCCGATCACAGAGTACTCAACGAAAAAGGAAACCGCTGCAAAAACGAAGACGAACCCTTCATTGAAATTCAAAGGGTCGATGTTTTCACGGAAGATGATCAGAAGGACGAGTGCCCAGAACATGAAAATGGCGGCTGATTGCTGGAAGAAGGCGAAGCGGTAGGTGGGGTGGCCGGAAAAGGCCAGAAAGATGAAGATTTCGGAGAAGGAGGCGATGGGGAGGGCGATGGTGAGAGAGTACAAATCGAAGTTTTTCCATTTGGGTTCTGAAAAGTACCAAGCTTTGGATCGGTAGAGAGATGGGTTCTTGAGGTAGAGGGCGGAGGAGCAGATGAGGCGGCGGAGGCCTATGGGGAAGAGGAGGGCGAAGGCGGAGAAATGGGTTGCTAGTGATGCCATGTGAATTTATGAATTTTCTGATGTTTGCTTCTTCTGGTATGTGTTTGTTTCTGCTCTTCCTGCCTTCTTTGGTTTCGTTTCGTTCGTTGACGTTGTGATTCTTGTGAACTTGTGAGGAAAACTGTGAAATTCAGAGACACATCTTTTGCCCTTTGTCCTTCACTCTCACAGAAGATTTTTTTTATTCAGTTGGATGCTTTATTAAACTATCCAAGTTCGAACCATCCAAAATTTAAACGTTAATATTAAGAACTAAAGTTGCGTCTTAATAAATCACACTGCCAAATAACACTTTTCACTTTAGCTTTCCTCGTTTTCTTTATTTCAGTGAAAGTTGGTTTATATTAAAGGAGAATGCTACCAACTTTTTCACTTAACTTCTCATTTTAATATTCTCACTTCTACTCATATCACGTGTACTCTGATAGCACCTAAAACTAAAAATTTAATTACCTTTTAGTTATACATTAGAAAGTGGAACTCTCTACCACCTTGCAGTTTAACGTCAGTTCATATGACAATATTAGAAAATGTTGTGTCAAAAGCATGATGTGACATAGAGTCTGTTACAAACACCCCTATATTTTTATTTTATTTCTATTTTCCCCTAGAACTAGAACATATTTAAATCTATCAATTTAATCCCTTATCTCTTTTAATCCTAGCCGTTGATCTAGATTCCACATCTCCTAAACTGCCAAGTGGCAGGTTCTCATGCTCTCTTCTCTTCCCTCTCATCCCGAGTGTTCCCTTGCATATATATATATATATATATATATATATATATATATATATATATATATATATATATATATATATATATATATATATCTCTCTCACGAGAACGGGAACTTTCCTCTCTCTCCCTTCATTCCATGCACCGTGACTAACCTAGCAAATCTGCATGCAGCTCCTGTTGTAGACCATTATCATCATCATCATCATCATCATCTTCCTTGCGCCGTTTCTATCTCTCTCCGTTGCAGCGAGGTCGGGGAACCTAGAGAAAGGATCTCCAACGGATCTCTCAATTCCTTCCGGCTAGGTAAGTTTGTTTACCTTTTTAATTTCCCATTGTTGTTGTGGGACATTGGGTATTGAAAGTTATGTTGTTTTTCCAAGGTTTTAAGGAAGGGAACGGCACGGGGGAAACTCACCCGCATTTTCTGACGAAACCGTGACTTTCGAGGATTCTTTCTGAGCTCTCACGGCGAAGCTAGGGTCTTCCCTCTTCATTTTAGTACTTGGTTTGAGTAATGATTTATTTGTTCGCCGTCGACCGGAGCTATAACAGCTCCTGTGTTCTTCCCCGACAACACCCTGGCCACCAGGCCTTCTCAAACACCCACGGGCCTTAGCCCATTCTTGGACCAGCCCATTTTCTTCCCTTTTGGTTAGTTGGCATGCGGGCCGTGCATGTGCATGAAGTGTGTGTGTGTGTGTGTTTTGGGCCGTGCATGTGTGTGGATTGTGTTTGTGTGTGTTGGGCTGATTGTATGTGTGATGTGTGTGTTATGTTGTGCGTGTGTGTGTTGTGTGTGTGTGTGTCCGTGTGGGTGTGTGTGTATGGTGAGTGTGGTGCACATGTGTGTGGTGCACGTGTGTACGTGTGTTGTACGTATGTGTGTGCGTGTGTGTGTTGTACGTATGTGTGTGCGTGTGTGTGTGCATGTGTGCTGTGCATGCATGTGTTGTGCATACATGTGTGTGTGTGTGTGCTGGCGTGAGTATGTGTGTGTTGTGTGGATTTGGGCTCAAGCCCAAACCACCCTTTTTATTCCTAAACATATCCAAAACCAAAACCCTTTACCTAAACCCATTAGGTTCTAACCCTATTTAACCTAAACCTAAACCCTAATCCAAATCCAAACCCAAGACCCATTTCCATTTCTTAAAATTCTATAGTTGGGAATTTTGAATAAATTGTACATTTTTGTGCTTAGGTGAAGTTGCTAGTGGGGATTTCCTTAATCATTTTCCGCACAACTCTGCTGCTACGGAATATCTGTGAGTGGACCCCTTCTAAAATTTGCATAATTTTATAGTTTATTTGCATAAATGAAATGCATGCCTTGCGAGTTTATGAGCTGATTGTATGTTAAGCATATTTACTGAAATATTGATTATCATCTCGTTATTTTGTAAGGAATTAATTGTTGGCTTATATTGAGCTATATTTTTAAAATATCATATTTTCTATAAAAACCATGAACTGGTAGACTATCGAATGGATGACGATAGGATGCTAAAACATGTTTTAGAAACCCCTCTTTATAGTATAGACGATTGATGACTTTATCCTATGAAGTGGTTATTTATGAGAGGCGTAACTACTTGTGCGTACCTAGTGGACACTATGCCGCTTGGGGCGAGGATCGGGTGTTGGTAGATAGGTCGGGAGAAATAATCTCTAGCTACGGGCTGAGGGACACGGAGCAGGCATTGGGCCGAGAGTTGGTAATCTCTGGCTACGGGCGCAGAGACCACGGTGCTGGCATAAGGCCGGGAGATATATTTATTTCAATGATCTTACTAGTAGTACATCACGCGATGAGATGATCTGTGAGACGTTTGGTATTTTATTTTTCATGATGACTTTTGAGATATTTTTTGCATGCTAGGGTTTTCAGTAAAACCATCACTTATTATGCTAGTAGTTTTCTTTATATAAACTGTTGGGGTTAGTATCTTGATAACTGTTTTATTATTATTGTATATATGAACTTGGTTCACTCACCTTTATTTTGCGCCCCCATTCAGGTCTTAGAAATGAGGACTACGACACGATGTACGAGGTATTCCCCTACCAGTAGCAATCTATCACCCACTTGTGTGATATCCTGTAATGATCTTTCTTTTTGTGATCTTGTTTTAGAACGTGCTCTGGGCACTCTAGACATTTCCTTAAACCTTGTTTATTCCTTCTAGATTTTAATGTTTATTCATGAATATTTCCTCCTAATCATTACTCTTGTAATCAATAAATGGCTTTCGTTAAGTGTCGACCAGCACGTGCCTATCAGGGTATTCAGAGAATATCGGGGTCGGGACATGTCAGAGTCTGTAGAGAGTCCAACTTTTGAGAGAACCCTCTTAGCATTCTCTTTATTTTTTTTTTGGTTGAATTGGAAGTGCTTATTATTTAATATCTCACCAAAATCAATGGCAAATTAATGTCCCTCCTCATCCAACTCCAATACTACATAAGACGACAATGTATTACTGACCTCAACATAAAAAGCCCATATTCGGCCCACATACTCATCGTCAACCCCAAGTCAGTCTGCAATTTCTCACTCCGGGTCACTCTTTTCCCTGACGAACAAACGGCTCAAAATTTCCTAAAACCCTGATTATTATTATTTTTTTTTTGTATTTTCCATTCAAATCCCTCTACAAAGTTCGGACCTTTGGAGCCGAAAACTACAGAAATGCTCTCTTCAGCAACCTCTCGACTCCTGAGACCTTTCCTTCTCCTCCGTCTCCGCCAAGCTCAAATCCTCTTGCATTCTTCGGTTCCTCACCCTGTTTCCTCCAAACCCTTTTCAACTCACACCCCCACCGACCCGGAACCCCAATCAAAACCCACTATATACGACCACACCGCCGTCCGCGAGACGCTTTCTTCATACTGCAACGACTGGAAGAAAGCCCTGGACTTCTTCACCTGGCTGGAAACTGACTGCCACTTCCAGCACACCACCGAGACATACAATCGGATGCTCGACATTCTCGGTAAGTTCTTCGAATTCGAGCTTTCATGGAACTTGATTAACAAAATGAAGCACAACCCAGAAACTGTTCCGAATTATACTACATTTCGTGTATTGTTTAAGAGATATGTGTCTGCCCACCTTGTGAATGAAGCTATAGATGTTTATAATAGATTGGAAGAGTTTGGTTTGAAGGATGAGACTTCTTATTGTATTCTTATTGATGCGCTTTGCGAGTATAAGCATGTGATTGAGGCCCAAGAATTGTGTTTTTGGAAGAACAAAGATTTGGGTTTTGATAAGAGTACTAAGATACATAATTTACTTCTTCGCGGGTGGTTTCGAATGGGGTGGTGGCGCAAGTGTAGGGACTTTTGGGAGGAGATGGATCGGAGAGGTGTGTGTAAAGATTTGCATTCGTATTCAGTATATATGGATATATTGTGCAAGAGTGGAAAGCCGTGGAAGGCTGTGAAGTTGTATAAGGAGATGAAGAGCAAAGGGATCAAACTGGATGTGGTGGCGTATAATACGGTTATTCGTGCCATTGGTCTTTCTGACGGTGTTGATTTTTCAAAGAGGCTGTTGAGGGAGATGAAGGAACTGGGGTGTGAACCCAATGTTGGGACGTATAATACAGTTGTAAAGCTTTTGTGCGAGAATGGGAGATATAAGGAGGCGTTCTCGATGCTTTATCAAATGCCTAAGTTGGGTTGTGTTCCGGACGTGATCACTTATCATTGCATTTTTAAGCATCTAGAGAAGCCAAATGAGATTCTTAGACTATTTGACAGGATGATTGAAAGTGGGGTTCAACCAAGGATGGACACTTTTGTGATGCTTATGAGGAAGTTTGGGAGATGGGGATTCCTCAGACCAATGTTTCTTGTGTGGGATAGGATGGATAAACTTGGGTGTAGTCCTGATGGGTCTGCTTACAATGCTTTAATTGATGCTCTGGTGGAGAAAGGTATGTTAGACATGGCTAGGCATTATGAGGAAGAGATGCTAGCAAGGGGGCTTTCAGCTAAGCCAAGGAAGGAGTTGGGAACGAAACTCGTGACCAGTGATGATGGGTAGTTGCAATATGATTTCTACACCAGCAATCCCAATATGATTTCTTCAGCATCTAAATTACTGACATGAGTATCTGGAATACACAGTTTTCCACCTGCATCTTTCTATCGAAATGCAAATGGAAGCTAAGGAATACCACCTGAGGAATCAGTATTAGCAGCTTCAGCTACCAAAATGTGTAGTTCTCACCTAAGGAACTAGTGATAACTTTAAACCATTGCGTGTCCGTTCTAAAGAGATGGGCAAGATATCATGTCTTTGTGGTGTTATCCCCTGAGATTATCTTTGGTTGCAAACTGAATTCTAGTAAATAAAGATACATATGATCGGTACATGTTCTTCAACATGCTGGACGAGCTGGAAGAACTCATCTTGTGAAATGCCATCGGTTATATCTTCCATGGTTTACCGAGTTCCAGAAGTTCAGTGTTCATCTCATGCCGGAAGTGTTATTTATTCGAACTGTTTAATTTTCTTGATTCTCCTTCCTGCAAGTCTAATTTCTTCTTCAGTCCTTTTCTTCTCTTTTCAGCCTTTCAGGCATACAATTAGAGTTCCTAAAAGAAATAATAAAAATTCATGTCATTACCAACTGTTTTAGAAATTCTTCTTTGCTTGTAGATTTTCTTGTTTCGAAGAATCGAAATTAGAGAACTAGGCTTCCGAAACTTCATTTTAATCGAATAAAAACACGCGTGGAAGAAATACTTTTCGTAGTTTTTGAATCATGCTGTTTTTGTTTATGGCTTCCAAATTCTAATTTTCCTCATTGTTAAAGCTTTTGCCACTTTTTACCTATAGGGACACTTCTGATGTGCATCAAGCACCGTCCGCAGGAAGCAACTCTGAAACCTTTCTCCAGAATCTTCTTCTTCTTATGACTTCAACCATCGAAAGTTGAAAATTCATGCTCTTCACATGCACGTACTGGGAACTAGTTGAATTGTTGACATACAATTTTGCAATAAACATCGTCTCATTCTTTACATGTAAGGAGAGTCAATCAGTCACGGGCAAAAGCAACTCATTGAATCACAAAAACAACAAAAATCTTGTGTCGTATGTCAAATTTCAACAGACTAGTTCTTTTTAACAATACAGTAGTCTAACCTACTCTACATTATGAAGAAGGAAATCCGAACTTGAGTGTTGGAGCAGGACGCATAGTCCGCGCCAACCCGTCACCTACCTTTACAAATTTCAACAGTCTAGTTCAAACCGATGAAGTTCGTGGTTATTATGCACCATTCTATTTAATTCAAAGTTTGCTTTCTAAAATGTCCCTGTATGAAAAGTTTCAAAAAAGGGTTTCTCAAACCAACGGCTAGGATCATCCCACGCATGACAGAGTGGCTTCCAAGAAGGTGACAAGTGGACCAAACCCAATTCAGATTCAGATCCTCCAAACAAACAGGGACCGTCAGTGCCCAAAAAGACTACAAATAATACACATATTTGTGGAAAAAAATTTTAAAATAAAACAATTGAACAAAAATCTAAGGCCATAAATATATGTGGCTCCTAACTGCTATCCAATAAAGGAAACCAAAGGCTCACAAGTATCACAAGTTGAGTCACAAACATTAAAGTCCGCAACTTTCTCAGAAACTAGAGCCACGGTTTCTGTTTCTTTTGTGTTGTTTCAATGGCAACCTCAGTTTCTGCAAGTTTGAGTTCGTCGTTCCATGGAAGCTGGGGGAGTTCGGTTGTCGGAGAAGATTATGGGACCCTGGTGAAGGCGGTCCCGAACCAAGTGAGAGTTGGGAAGGCAGTGAGAGCGCAGCCGATGATGAAGAACATCAATGAAGGCAAAGGTGTCTTTGCACCTCTTGTTGTTGTCACACGTAACATTGTTGGCAAGAAGAGGTTCAATCAGATTAGAGGCAAAGCTATTGCTTTGCACTCGCAGGTAATTAATATGTAAATCTTCTCTTTGCGTCTATCCATGATTAAACTTTGGTTAAGTTATGTGTCATTCTTGATCAACCATTAGCGTTGTTGATGTTCAATTCTGGGTATAGTTATTTATATCAGTGTGCGTCTCTATATGAACTCAAGTTTGAATACCCTTTCTCATAGTTTACTTTAAAAATAATTAGAATACCGCTTGAAGCAAGAGAAAAATAGTCACATATACCACTTTGAAAATGCTTTAAATTAGTAGCCATCAAATTTTCAGTTTCTTTTTCAAAATTTTAAGATGAAAACATTATTGGTAGGTAAAAGGACAAATCGTTGAAAACATGAGGCTTTTTGTTTGAAAGTAATTTCACTTATTTTCTTTTTGTTCACCTTCTCTTTTTACCTCACAAAACCAAGTGGTGAGAGAGACAAAGTATAGTAACGAGTTAAGATTGTGATAGTTTCATGTTCGGTTCCCTCAAATTATGGAATTACGGAATTGTATACCTTGATAAGCATATAAAGTTTTTCCTCTCCAGGATCATAGCCTTCATTTGAACCAAAAGAAAAAGGGTGGTAGTATATAGATGTTGTTGAATTATTAAGAAACTCTAGTTTCCCTGCAGGTGATTACCGAATTCTGCAAATCGATCGGAGCAGACGCGAAACAAAGGCAAGGACTGATCCGGCTGGCGAAGAAGAACGGAGAACGGCTGGGGTTCCTGGCATGATAGAATCAGTAAATTTTCATACTTCATTCTAAAACGACTTCCACATGCATATACTCCCCACCAGCTGGGATTCCTTCAACATCACCACAATGTATAATTTGATGTCTGCTCTCCATAATATATGCACTTTTCGTGATCATTCTTCAGTCTAGTTGAACCTCGATTAACCATTCGTGAAATCAAACGCTATGGCTAATCAGATACACAATATCCATCTACAAGAGCGAGAAATAAGAAATCTAGCAATCATGCAGATTTGAATCATTTGATTGTCAACTCAAGTAAATCATGGGTGTATTACAAACAAAACTTAATTTTAGGTGTACTCTGAGAAATTTTGAATGTTACAAACAAATCTTAGTTTCCGCGTACTTGAGAAAATTTTCCAAATCGTAGCATAAAGAACAAGATCATACTATGCTAATAAATGTAAGTAGACAAACATCTCCTCTAGCTTTTCTCAACAGAAAATTTGTGATGGTGTTCACAACTTTGGTAATGAAGAGTGAAGACCCGGCACCCAATCAATTACACATAGTATCGAGGCTTTGCTGATCTTTCCCTTTTAGAATCGTCCTGCAATGACAGAAGAAGTGAGAAATAGAATTAAGATAACTCCAACACAAATAATACCGACTGAAACTTACATGGAAGCTGTAGGTGATCTTATCGGTAACATCGATTACCTCCTTCCACTTTCTCCCAATGCTCATCTGCATGACAAGATAAAAAATTCAGCCACTTGTCCACAAAGTTGCAACAGATCACATGCAAAAATTCAAGGAAATATAATCAATAATTAATGGATCCACCTATTGCTGATGGGGCAGAGGTCAATCGAGTATATGATATAAAATCAATCTCGTATTAAGAATCATAGTTCAGTTGATTAATAAAGATCAACAATTTTTCATGGATGCTTTCGCTTCTTAGGATATGCAGATATCTATAAAATAGTTCACAGATAAGCTGGGGCTTTAACTATATCATTGTTAACATCAGAGCAGATTAAAATTCACCCAAACAGGAATATAGATCAAGCAAACCCACAAAGCTTAAAACATCCTATTTAAAGTGTAAGTTTGAATGACACCTGTGCAGCCTCGTTTGCAGCATTCCTAGTCCATAGTGCAAGTTTGTCCTGCCTCTGGCGCACACTTGCTACCACTCCGCATATCTCATCAGCCTCATCAAATTGCTCTCCAATCAGTGCCATCAACTGTCCAATAAAATAGAAACCCCTTAGTATCAATTTTCAAGTAAACCCTAACGTAACATGAATCAACCTAAGTGACTAGCCCAATGCACACAATAATCTTCTGCCACAGTGAGCAAGAACCAACCATTCTTACTGCTGAGGAGATCAAGATTATACATAGAGCAATATTCAATGTCCATATAGTTTAGCACATGCTATGCGGCAATATCAATCAAAACCGTTAATTAGGTGAAATCAAGTCTAATTGTATGTCTTGATTCAACGTCTCGAAAAAAGTATCCTAAACTATGATTCCTCTATATGTGTATTGTGTAAGTGCGCGTGTATGCGTGAATCAGTATGATGTTTAACTATATGGAAATCGAAATCTCACAGTCTCTAGCCACATGGTATCAAGGTTAGCCTTCCTGCTGCTGGTGACAGTCCACTTCCCTCCATTAGCACACTCAGGATCCTCCCACTTTGGTTCAACCCCAGCCCGGAACAAGTGGAAGTCTGCATGAACCGTCAACTTGCTGGGCTTGAATACGTGATCATACAGACTGCAAACAGATTTTGCATCTCAACATCAAATTTCCGGATTGGAATCAGATTAACATTCAGAACTTGAATCAAGTGAAGTTGCATATAATCAGAGTTTGTAGGTCCACAATGAAACTATAATTCGGAAGGAAAAGAACCGAAAATATTAAAAAATTAACTAAATGCAGCTGGGTAACTTAATTGTCTGGACTTAAAGAATTCTCCACTAAATTTTGTCATCAGCCAAGCATAGTCTAATTACAAAGTTAGAAACGTTAAAGCTCAATTTTTTGAAACAAAAAGACCAAATACTCTGGTACAATACTTGGATTTACAGAAAAATTCCACTAAATTTTCTCTTCAAACAAACACGATCTAATTACAAATCACATACCAATCAACAAACAAGCAAAAGTCAGCAAACACCCACATATCACAAATACGAAAACAAAAACCGAATGGAAAAAAATTAATTAATATTCAAACCCAAAATTGAAAATCCCAAATTAACAAAGGGGAAGAAACGGGGCATTAGGTTTAGGTCAAGTAATCTAATTCTTACCACCAAAACTCCTGGACGGTTTCGAAGGTGTAGGCTTTGCGGAGCGAGGAGCCCCACGCAGCACCTTGCTTGGGCTTGGATTGGTTATCGAACCAAAAGGTCCACTTTCTCTCCAGCTTCTGGGGGCCGCTGCTTGCCTGTATCTTGGTATCAGAGGCCACCGCCTCAGCCGCAATATTCTCCTGTGTGTCCACCTCTGGTCGCGGCACCGCTGCTGCTACCTCTGTCGCCATTGTTGTCACTTGTGGAAACCTTTTGAGCCGTCTGTGTGTCTGGGTTTTGTTGATTGGAAGGAGAAGGAGAAAGGAGAGAGCATACGGTTTTGGAATCGGGTCCTTATATTTGGAGGATCCGCGGGGCCGGTGTTACGTTATGTTTCCCTGGTCTGACCCGATGGGTAGGCTCGCATGAGCCCAACTAGGTGGGCCGACAACAATCCAATGTTGTTTGAAGAAATTTTTAACACACGTCATTGTATTATTAGGCAAAATATCGCGGTAGTAACGTACCCATAAATTACTCTCCAAATCATCAAATTCAAACTACACATCTTACAATTTAGTACAAAGAAAGAAGATTCTTATCCCAAACAAAAGCCTAAAGGAGTGGAATGCGGCAACAGTTGAGATTTAGTTAAATTCTTACAAAATGAGCAGGTAAATAAAGCTTGGAAGATGGTATATGTACAATCTCTCTCCCAAATTTGAAATAAAAAAATTATCATATTTTCTTAAATTTAGTACTTCAATATGTTTGATATACCGTGATTGTTTGATTAGAATCTTCCTAAAGGTTCAATCTGCCTAGCATTTGTCTTTTAAGAAGATGCTAATCAAACATTCGTGGCATAAAAATACTAGGCAAATTGAAGTATAAATTTGATAGTTGATGAAATTTCTAGATTAAAGGCACATGGAGCAAAATGACACTTAAATCTCTCAACTCTTATCACGGTTGAAAATTTTCATCCTCATCACATAACCCTCGCACTTAATTAACGTTCTTCCGATGGTTATCGACCCCGTTCAAATCAAACCCATTTTGCATCTGGTGGCAGGTGTTGGATGCAGCGTGATGGCCATAGTATTGGACGATCGTGACTCGCATGGAGTCTCTTTTTCTTCTCTTTCGTTTATGAATAGATGAGGTGTCTGTCACTTGTCGTGGTGTTGACATTCGTCCATGTTACTGAATGAGAAAATTGGGGGGTTTTTTTTTATCCGAAGCAATGGCGATATTTCATTAAAGATTATAACATGATTTTAAAAGGTACGTTCAGCTGGGTGTACGTTAAACTGGGTGTATTTTTTCAATGATCAAATCCTTGATCTGAAAAGAGTAAAGCACAACAAACAAACATAGTACATTCTCTACGTAACCACCACAAACAACACAATACACAAGAATCAGTGGTGTAAATCTTCCGCAATAGATCAGTAGTGACAGATCCCAAATTAAGGAATACACAAAACCATCACGAAAATGAGGCCACACAACCTTTGGGCGGCACAAATAAACACAAACTTCAACTAAGCCGAGAAGGAAACCACCGACAACTCATCTTCACACAGAAAACATGGCAGCTTGTTCTGATCATCAAAACCATCACCGTAGAAGAACATGTTTTTATTTACATCTTTTGGCAAAATGAATAATTTATATTCCACCACTAAGAGCTTTCTGATCATTAAAAATTAAAATACCCATTCGAAAATATATACTATTTAGTTATTGGGATAGCATAGTGGTGAGCAGTGGCGAAGCTACTGAGGTACAAGAAGGTGCGAGCACACCTTTCGTCGAAAATTGAGAGAGAGAATTCACCCTTCTACTAGACTATTGTTGCGCTCATGTGACTATTGTTCTGAGCACACCCTTCGTCAGAAATTGACCTTAAGAGCGAGAATTCACCCCTCTATTGGACTGTTGTTGCGCTTATGCGACCATTGTTCTAGGCTGAGCTATGCAAGTCTGGACAGGGTTAGACAAGCACTAAGGGGTATGTAGAGAAGCCAGAATGTGAAAATGTTTTTGTTGCAGAGCCAGTGTGCGTAAGAAAGAAGATGATATCCTTTTTTTTTAGGAATTGTTATTAACACTTAAAATCTCATTTCACACACCAAACTTTCTATATTTTCTTTGACACTTTCCTTCCTTGAGGCACAATATGAATCTTCTACCCGTATGTAATCATTGAGAATTTAACCTCTCAACATGTACCAACTGGTAAAGATCGCCTCGTCTTTGCTTCAGTAAGGGGAGGTTTGTCCTGAATAATTCAAAACAAACTTATTTTAACTACTTTAATTGTAAAGTAACAAACTATTTCATCGGTATTCCATGAACACTCTTGCATATGAAAAAGAAGAGTACAGCTTGGAAACCTTTATATCACTTAGTGCAAGGAAGTGCGACCATATCTTAGGTCAGAGGCGGATCTATTAAGGGACTAAGATGGTCCCAGGACCACCCAAAAGCTCAGAAAAGTAGCTATGAAAATCTCTAAAGACCACCTAAATCTGGGCTGTGGTGGAGGAGAAAAGCAGCCATGGTTGCTGAGCACCTTCTGCAAAATAGAAGGAGAAAGAAGAAGACTCATTTTCTTTCAAATTACTTCGCCAAAACAACTGTTTTGGGCCAAACCATTAAAAAAAAATGGAAAGCGTGCATTTTTTATTGTGATTGGACATCCGGTCACATCCCTTTGGTTTAGACTCCACATGAGGTTCATCAATCCATGGCCATGCACACTGGTGGCCGAGGTGGGACCCACTTCAAAGTAAAAATCAATTTAAAGACCTTGAAAAAGAGAAAGATTATATCAAGGGAGTCGTAATCTCATTAAGTAATCATTTCGTTTTGTCCTTGGGGATTCCTCAACTCTTCCAAACAGTAAAAACTTTAAACTTACCCTCCTCCTCTATGCTTATTGCTGACTGCTGCCCAGTGGCAGTGGGCCTATAATCTTTGTTGGCATTTGGGTTTAGCCTTTAGTTTGCATACATCTTCCATTCTTCTCTTCGATCCCAAAACCCTAATTAGAGTTTAGTTATGCAAGTTTTTGATGCCTAGTTTATTTGTTAGTGCATGTTGTGAGGACTTGTCACTCAAGTGATCGAACATAATGTTTGTCCTTGTATTAACAGCAAGAGTTTTGATAGTCTCGCATTCACAATAAGAGTTACACATTATGTAGTTATACTTAAGACAACAAAAATATTTATTTTATTTTGATAGACAAATAGTGACTTTGTCATTTTTATTTTTTTTCAATATTATTTTGGTCTTTTTTTTTTTGAGCTTTAAAGTTAGAACCATCATATACTAAAATCCTAGATCCGCCACTGCTTTAGATCATCGGAAATCGACTCTAAGTGCGAGAATTCGCCTCTCTGCTAGACTGTTGTTGCACTTATGCGGCCATTGTTCTAGATGGAGCTACGCAAATCTGGACAGGGTTGGGCAGGTGCTAGGGGAGCGTTTGTGGAGAAGGCCAGAATTTGAAAATGTTTCTGTTGCGAAGTTGGTGTGCGTGGGAAAGAAGATGGTAACCTTTTTTTATCTTCCTTTTTTTTTTATCTTTTTTTATTTTTTTATCTTTAACTAATCCCCGTATTCCTTTTTCCTCTTTAAAATGGTCCCACCATCTTTTCTTTCCTCACTTTTATACTACTTTTTTTTTTCTCTTAATCAATCTTCTGACTTTTGTTTTTTCATTTTTGAGTGATGTTGTATTAGTTTCTTTATCTTTTTAAGACCACGTCAATTCAGTTCTTTTATCAAGCTTTGTACCAAATAATATAATTATACCTAATTGTATAACTTTGGCTAAATTTATCGTCTTTAGACTGGACGCGTGTTTTGAGACTACTTTTGAAATGTTAAAACCCTTAAACATGAGGTTAAAAATATTTAATAACAAAAGATTTTCTTTTAGTTATCATAGTTTTTTTTTTTTTTGGAGTTTTTTAATATCTTCTCATGTGCGTTATGGTGGATAGATAGGTTTTATACTGTTTAGTTCTACCAAGTGTAATGTGCATCGAGATTTTATGCTGAACAATGTGAATCTTGCATTAGAAGTGATACTTATGCTTGTGATTTCGTGTTCAATTTTTTCACCTTCTATTCACTTGAGCCACTCTTGTTTCAATCTCTTCGTTGACTACACTGTCTATTTTTTAACTTTTTCTGAATTGTCCAATGTATTTAAAATGACAATAAAACCTAAACGTTTTGCCCATTTCTCTTATAATTTTTGACTTCGTCACTAATAGTGAGGGTGTATAAGAATGAGTAATGAGGGAGACCAAAATTTTAAACCAAGTTTACAAATCAAATGATATATCACCAATATAAAATAAATATGTTAATCAACGTTTAAGTAATAATTCAATCATAAACAACCACATCATTTGGTATGTAAATTTAATTTGAAAATTTTGATTTCTCTAGCATTATTAGTATAAAAATACGTTAGATTCAAACTTTGAAATGTTAACTGAAAACCTTCTCTCACACATGTCAAAAACTTTGCAGTATCTATTGTTATATTTAGTATAAGACTCTGTAGCTTTAATTATGATTTGTGCAGAAGGGCAGGCATGGCTGATGAAGTTAAGCATAAGATAATAGCACAAAGAGAAAGAGATACGTGCATGGTGTCCAAGTGTAAGAAGGGAGTGAAACAAGGTTTGCATGCACTTCTCACATTGAGCCACAACTTACCCTCCAAAATCAGGTGGTGTTTGCATTTCTTGCCACGCATATACTTGCTGCTGACTGGGGAGGACGACTTTTCCTCCTTATTTGCCTTTCCCATAGTAATTTTCTCTCTCTACCACGGCTCTTTATAACCAAAATATTCATCACCTAGCTAGTCTTGTATATTTCTGCACCTCCTCCATATGCGAGAGAAAGAGAGTGAGAGAGAGAAAGAGAGAGCAAGAAGGTCAGAGAAGATCGCACAAAACCGTATCGATTATGGCTGCGAGTGCTGTGACGGAGAATGAAGCACTGGCCACACAAGCTCCATATGCACCTGTCACTATTGAGAGGAGAGTCAGGAGTAACTTGGAAACCAAACTTCCTAAACCATGTATGTCAGACCAATTTCATTTTCTTTCTTTCTTGCTATATATATATATAAATATATCCCTCTCTTTCACTTTTGTATATATTTATAAGCTTATTACTCTTTATTCTTCTTCCAATACCAATATGCACACGGAGATTCCATAACAGGAATCAATGATCTCGATGAGAGGACTAGTTGCACACCATTTTTTTGTTTTGTTTGCTTTTATGCACCGCTCTTTAT